AAAAAAAATCAGTGACGGTCATCATAGTTACTATATAACCATATAAACCATCCATGCGGAATTATTTACTATGCGATTACACAATAATACTCAATGTCATACCAAAAAATGGAAAGTATAAATCTAGCTACAAAAAAGAATATACGATTGCTAAAATGTAAAAATAAACACATTTACAATTAAAACGCTCCTTAAAAAGAAAGGACAATGGAAAATCAATTCTAGACATCGGTAAGCGTGCTACTTACGAGAATCATTTTTGATTCTACGTAAATGAATCTCCAAGCATAGAATATTTTAGTAACTCTGCAACAATGTCGCACGAAATAAAAAATTTTGCACAACAGAAACACTTTCTATGCTTGTTAGACACCTTTACTAACAATATTGGTAACAAAAGGCAGAGTTTTCTACGATCACTTCCTACGATATGGAGCAACATCGATACAAGAACATATGAACATTTTCAAAGTTTTTCATCAAATGTCCTGCTCCGTGTCCCTTGTAACAGATATTCAAAAAGCTGTTCTTTGCAACGAGAGCAATCTTTGGTTTTCTCAATTTTATTAAATAGAGTCAAAATTTGTAAAAATAATTCTCAAGACATAATATGTCTAGCGTCTTACTTTATATCTATGTTAAGTTACTTGATGAAGAAAATATTTATAATTCTAGCTCGTTTTACTGTTCTACTACTGCGATATAAAGGAATCACGAAAAGTACAACTATGCTTTTTTTCTATTACAATGAAAATAACTTGACGATAAATAGTAAAAAATTGAAAAATTTAAAATCCTCGTTTTTCTCAGAACAGCTTGCTCCACATCTTCATTATTTTCTAGAAGAAATCTCTGCTTAAATGAGGACGGTTTGTCTGTTGCGACATTCGCATTCTACCTCGTCCATTTGCACTACTGGCATGTCTTCGAGTATTCCGTAATTCTCGATCGACTTCCAATTCCTCCAATTTCATAGTCAAAACGAGCTTCTGCTGCACGGCCAGTCGTAACAGGGAGTTCAAGGTTTTTCTGTCATCTTCCGCTGCGGCTAATTGACGTTGCAGCTCGTCAACTTGCGTCACATATTCTTCACAACGTGCGGCAAACATCGCACGTAAACCTGAGAAGTGCGGTTAGCAGGTATTAACACCAAATACAAAGAAGCACCATGGACAAAAAGCATGACGAAAGAATTAGAAAATACATGAAAAAAAATTACTCCTAAAAATTAATGCAGAAATATGAAGAATTTAAAAACTTTTAAATATTGAATCCATAGGAAATATATTAATGATCTTTCAGTGAGTACAGCCAACTTTTTAATAAGTATTATTTATATATTAAGATATATTAATATATTAAGAGATATTATTATATTAATATATTAAGAAATAAAACAGTATCGTTGATATCAAACTCCTAGTGCAATTGCAAAATCAATCGTAGTTATTACAAGCAATAAAATAAACTTATTACAAGCAATAAAATGTACATGAATGCTGATAATAATTGTTAGTTTTACGTTAATGTATTATATAATACACGAATGTTAATAACACAAAAAATAGAAAAAAAGGATAGATTAACTATACTCTTAAGTATCATCTTAAGTATTACTTATATTAAACATAATATATATTATATTAAACATAATGTATACATTGTTACCAACTTGAATAGATTTTATAATCAACTTACTTGAGAACGTTGCAGCATTTTCTTTTAACATTCTAAGCTCGTTCCTCAGTTTCAACATAGTTTCGTTAACGATACTCTTCTCATTTTCATATTTACCCTTCAGGTTCGTGAGTGCTACTTCCGCTGTGTTTTTATTTGATTTAAGCACTGTTCTTAAAGTTGCGATTTGTTCACGTTTAGCCGATAATAAAGCCTTCAATCTAATTACTTGTTCTTGTAAATCTGCTACTTCTGCCTTGTTCTCATTCACTGATCCTGTAATTGCAACGAATGAAGTTATGCATCAATTGAATAAGCAAGAAAAAATTAAAGGATTCCTCAAAGTTACCTTCGCAAACATTGCAGACATTCGACTGCATTCCTTTAACTTTGGAAAGTTCAATCGTATGCTCTACGGCGTTCCGGAGGTGTTTTATTTGATCCATCGCAGTTTCTATATGTTTCGCGACTTCCTTCGCTTTACTCAGACTTTCTAAATCTTTAATTTGAATATCGGTCTTAAACAAAGTCCGACACCATTCTATCTTTCCATTCTCTTCTTCCTTCTCGGGAACAATCTTCTCGTGGTCGAGGACTACTCGTGAAGGAATTTCTCCATTAACAGTGCACACGTGATGATAGAGTTGAGCAAGTTCATCGGAGATATTTTGCAAATCATTTTGTGCAGAATCAAGAAAACCGCCGGCTTCCACTGCAAGTTTTGAGAGAGTAGAAATGTCGGATTCGAGTTGTATGCTTCTTTGTTCTGTATCTAAAAGCTGAAATATAATAAATAATCTTTATATTTATCTCAATTACTTCGTAAAAATAATATCATTTGCTGCATTTTTATATACAGGATGTTTCCTATTTTATCCAACAAGCTGCAAAAAAATAATTTACAATAAAAATAAAAAGAAAATGTTATATAAAGTTTAATTGTAATCACTCTCATACAAAGTTGTAAGCAAATATGGAGTATAGCATGAACAAAAATTTGTAAAAATAAGTGTGAGGAAATATTTAAATTCGCGTAATAAATTAACAGAAATTTTTGAAAATGAGAAATTAAATTTTGAGGAATTATTATCTACAATATTGACTATCTAAAAAAAAAAAAAATATATATATATATAGTCAATATATATAGTCAATCTTCCGTATTTTATAATGAAGAACCAATTGGTATGTATATATATTATATTGTATTATATATTTGTAACTAAGTATATACTATGTAACTTTGTAATAAAGTAATTATAGCCAAGCTATACGACTTTTTTTATTATTTTGAGATTAGATTTGTAGTTCGTCGGATAAAAAAAGAAATACTGCATAATATCAGTTTCAAAACTTCGAATATAAATAGGATTGAGATTCTAAGAAGTATTCGATAATTTTTGCAAGACTGTACAAGATCGTACATAAAACGTCTGTTTGAACATCGTGCAAACAGGCTCTGTGAGTCTGACTCATGCTACGTTAGATGCAAGTAGAAACGAAGAAGAAGAAAGTATTCGTTGAGTTTTTGTTTCCTAAGCACATTCTACTTTAAAGCCATAGTGCATAGCGATTAAGATCCGTACATTTATTCGAGCATTCGACAAAAGAACATTCAGATAGATATTGATGTGTCAACTCGCTTGTGAAAACACGTGATAATTTTCACAAATTTGAGACATGATATATTTATCAGTAGCCATAGGAATATGTATAGTTAAAGTTATCAAAAACGACGACGAGTTGTTAGAACACTGAAAAGCAACTTGTACGGATCATTAAAGGAGCCAAAAGACAAGTTATTATTATAATAATTGGTAAATACGTCAAAGGGACCACACGTTCCAACCTTTTCTCGAAGGCTCTTCTCTGACACGGGGATCTGAAACGCCATAATTTCTATTCAAAGTCTAAATTTTGAACGTTAAATATCATTGTGCCAGAGTCACAGTTTATCGTTGTTATTTACACGTATCGAATTTTTTATCAATAAAAATTTATTAAATTAAACCAACTTACATTTCTATTCTTCATAATATTTGCCGTAATGTTGCTGTTTATATATTTATAAGAGAAAAAACATCATACAAAAATAAAAAAAATTAAATAAACAACAGTGAGAAGGTAGAACTAGAAGAAATAAAAAATGAAAAAAATGGTAAACGTTATATACCTTGTTTCTAAGGTTTGTTAATTCTGTACGCAGTTGTTGAGTTGAATCAGATATAGTTAAACCATTTTCTAATTCAGCCAAATCCTTTTGAAGTTGATTCACTTCACGTGCAGACATAGTACTCCATTGGTGATACTGCATAATCGCCTAAAATCAATTAACACATCAAATACAAAGCATTAAAGGAGATGAAATTTATTTCAATATATTCGTACTTGGTTCAATTTATCTAATGTTGTTTCCTCAGTTTGTTTTTCAGGTAATTTGGAATGAAGATGGTGTAATGACTGCACATGAGCTGCTAGTTGTACTATGCGCGCGACAAAAGACTGTAATTCATTCTGACTCTTTTCAACTGCATATTGCGACTCCCGTAAATTTTGCGTAAGATGAGCTTTCTCAGATTCTGCTAATTCTAATTGTTTCTCTAATTTTTTCAATTCATTCAAATGAATCTCAGAAAATAAATCAACTTGTTTATCGGTAGCAGAAGTCCCTGGTTCTTGAGTTTTTAAATCTGCTTCAATCCTACGTAATGCAGGGGAATCATCTTCTCCATCACTACATATTGTTTGATCTTCTGTAATTCCTCTAATGGAAAGTGCAAGGTTGCTAAGATTATAAATTGATTCGCTATTAATTCTTTGATCCAGCTCCTTTTTAAGAGCATACTTTGCTTCACGCTCAGCTTGCAAAGATTCAAGTGCTTCTTCCATTTGTTTTTCAGCAATTTTTTTTAAATTTGTCAATTCCTCCACTTGACTATTTAAAAGTTCCACTTCTTCTGTCAATCTTCTTATTTCATGTTTGGCACCTTCAAATTCTACCTGACTGGACCTTAAACCGGATACTTGTTTCTGTAATGAAATGTTCTCGTCTTCCAATTCTGAATAATCTTGAAGAAGTCGAGCTTCTCGAAATCTACATTCACGTAACATGGTACGTAAGGATTTCCTCTCTGTCTCTGCTTGTTGGTGATCTTTTCCAACTTCTTCGCGTTCTTGTAATGCATGATCACGTTCTGCTTGCAC